CATTGCAAAAAAAAAAAAAGGCTGGAAACCATTTTCCCACCAAAGTGGTGGGAAAACCAATTCAACAAAAACAAGGAAAAAGGGACCACGTGGGGGGTGGGAGGAAAATATTTTCCATGGAAAAAAAGGGCCTATCAAATAGGCCCTTAGATTATCTTCAACTGTTGCCTTTGAATTTATAATGTACATCAGTAGATGGATCATTTCCTTACTCAGATGCTTCTTTTCCAGCCTTCTAATCCAGTATCCTTATGGAAGATAATATACTATAGGCTGAAAGCATAGGACCATGATATCTGTATCTACAGATGATGTTTATTTGTGGAAACACCATTATGCAAAATTGAATTATTTTTCTTTCTCATAGTATGATTCCACTTTTGAAAGCCTTAAGCATCGAAGAATTTCTTCTGCAAGGAACACTAGGAAAACAATTGAATTTCATTTCTGTCCAAATTATTCTGATTGGTTGGTTGCACATGATCTTCAGGGTTGTTTACAGAAGTGAGCTCTGTTCGTGCCAGTGCTAACAAAGTTGTGTGTTGCCACTTCTCATCAGATGGCAAGCTGCTTGCTACTGGTGGCCATGACAAAAAGGTGAGAGCATCAAATGGAATAGATGATCATTTCCATTTATGACCACAAGTATTCTTTTGAGCATCTTTGGCTAAGCTTAAAAGTGACATTTTTTCCCTAAACGTGCATTGAAAGTTTTTAGAAGTTATTTTTTATTTTTTAGATTGTTGAGTTCAAAAATTTTTACTTTTTAATGTCTGTCTTCATTTGAACTTAGCCAACCATGCTCTCAGTGTCAAATTTATGCAGCTTCAAACTTCACGTTGATTATTGTTGGAATTTGCTAGCTCATGCGTATATAATATAAAATGTTGCAGGGTGTTTTGTGGTATACTGAAAGTTTGAAGCAAAAAACTACACTTGAAGAACACTCATCGTTTATTACTGATGTTCGCTTTAGTCCAAGCATGGCACGCCTTGCAACATCATCTTTTGACAAAACTGTCAGAGTTTGGGACGCCGACAATGTTAGTTGGGAAATAATTTATATAATTGCATGTTCTTCTCTTTTGCGAACTTCCTTTTCCTCTACCAAATATTTTCTGATTGTTAATGTTTTGTCATCATATCCTATTTGGAAAAACATTTTTCATTATGAATAATGACATTAATTAAGAATATCTTTCTATGCAATGCCATCAATGAACTGTGAGTCTGATACTCATTTCACTTTATTTTTACATATGTTTTGTTCTTTTTAGATAATTCATATGTTACCCTAGTTAAAATATTTTTTCTCACAGGAAAAGTGTTGGTTTTTTTGGAGTTTATTATTGCTTCTTATTGCTTTTGATGTGGGAAGTCAAAGGAGCACTACATCCGTTCCTGTATATCATTGATGAATGGACTGTAGACTTTTCCCAGACATTTAAATTGGTAATATGCATAGACATTAGCTTATCCTTAATATTGATTTATATTGCAGCCGGGCTATTCACTTCGTACCTTTACTGGACATTCCTCCGGTGTGATGTCACTGGATTTTCATCCTAACAAAGAAGATCTCATCTGCTCATGTGACAGTGATGGCGAGATAAGATTCTGGAGTATTAACAATGGTAGCTGTACTAGAGTTTCCAAGGTAAAAATAAAAAACATAGAAAAACTATGCTAGAAACTTTCACGACGTCTTCTTTCCGTTCCTGTTTACCTTTTGTTTGTTTGTTTGTTTGTTTTTGTCCCTGTTCCCCATCCCAATTAGGTAGCTGTGAAGGCAATTAATTTGTTTGATATTTCCTACTCCGATTGGACTAGGGTGGCACTGCTCAGGTCAGATTTCAACCTCGTCTGGGAAGGTATCTTGCTGCAGCTGCTGAAAATATTGTGTATATATTGGATGCGGAGACATTGGCTCATCGATATTCAATGAAGGTCAGTTCCCCCTGACCCGGTACAGGGCAATGATATTTTGGAAAGTTGGTAATTTTGTTTGAGTTTGTAAGCAAGCATTTAACATAATGCTAAACATGGAACCCAACAAGTAATAATTGGAAAAGGATGTTGGAGAAAATCAAATGTTGAAAAATTAGCATCTGAAAATGTATTAGTGCATAACATAATTATTTCTGAAAATGTGAAGTAGGAGAGCATAATATAGTAATAACTCGCTAATATAATTATTTCTGATCTTGAAAAATTGCTCAAGTCGAAGACGCACATGTTGGAAATGGAAATACATGTCTAGAAACTGATTGAGTTGGCAGATAATTGATAATTGGATTTATTTGCATCTTCTTTGCATATTGTTCAATGAACAAGAACGGAAAGATTTTTATTATTGCATTATTAATAAGCAATCTGAAGGGCCGGCCATTTATTTGAGATACGGATGCATAAATTAGTATTTTTATGCACCAATGTTCAGGATATATTTCGGAGATTAATTATGTATCCATATTTACAAGAATGATACTATGAGTCGGTGTTAGTCACTTGCATCTTCTGGACACGAATGCTCTCTTTTATATTACCAATTTATTGCTTTTGCTGCTGGTTTGTGAATTTTTAATTGATTTGTTATTCTTCTCCCTAACATGATGTGCCCATATTGACTGTATCACTATAGGGTCACACAAAATCGATTCATTCTGTTTGCTGGGATCCTTCTGGCGATCTCTTGGCATCCGTCAGTGAGGATTCAGTGCGAGTCTGGACTCTGAGATCCGGGAGTGAAAGTGATTGTCTGCACGAGCTTAGTTGTAATGGCAACAAATTCCACTCCTGTGTTTTCCATCCTACATATCCTTCACTGCTGGTTATTGGCTGTTACCAGGCAAGTCATCACTTTTGCATTTGATAAGCTTTTTTTTCGGTAGTTTTTGAATTTGTGTAGGTTGTATTTGAGTAAACCGACGAGCTCATATGGATGTTATTACAATTTTACATAACCCCCACCTGAAAGAAAGGATAAAATATACTAAAAGCAGATGGTTGTTTACAAATGGAACTGATTATTTTCCCCTTAAGAAAGAGACGACTTCAGTGGAGTACTTTTGGCATAGAGTTTCTGAAAGCTTTAATACCTCAGAACCTGCTTCTTTAAATGTGTTTTAATGAAATGAAGTCTGGCTTCTGTATATTTGAATTTAGCTTTTAAAGCATGTTTAGTAGGGAGGAATGGATAGCATTGGACAGTATTGAGGAATAACATGAAGCTACGCTATAGTTTTGTTCTTTAAACTGCCCAGTCATATATAATTTGCGTATCAGACATGCTATTAGTGTATTCCTGCTGTTGGGGCTTATTATATCTCTGTTTTCTCCTTTCTCCAAAAGTTGGATATAATCATCTTCTTGAATGAAACATTTTTACCCCAGACTGGATCTATGCGTGTGGATTTTGGGAATGGGATTGATGGATAAAAATCTCTCATCTAGATTTTAGAATCCAAGAATGAAGTGAATTGTACTTCTGATTCACGTGTTTAGATTGGACATGTCTTGGGATGATTAAGCTGTGAACTGTTCGTCGAATCTGTCACTATGGGTTGTCCACCCTAGGGTTTAGCCACGAGTTATGTATTTAGTTAGATGGACTGGTTTAAGTTATATATGGTAGTTTGCCCGTGTTTCTCTTGGGTCAGTTGTTAGCCCCTGGTTGGTTGAATACATGCCAACTTATCTTTTTATAGCCTTTTTATTCCGATTCAGGCTTCAGGCAAAGCAGGTCCCACGAGGCTACTCATTTGTGTTGATTTGATATTTCCTTGTATATGGGAACCTGATATCCTGAGCAATTTGTCATCACTGTAACCAGTGCTGTTTAGTATACGGTGCCAAGCATGACACTGGTGTAAAGTACCTTGCCTCAATATACAAGTCGATCACAAGAAGTGAAATGCTATGCAGCCCTAGTGGTTGACCTCAAATTGATTAATTCGATGCCTTCATTTTCCCATCAAATAATGTGTATTTTCATGATCTATAGAGAGACTGGATCTAGATTACCGAGTTTCATGTCATGCATAGATTTTTTCCTCATTTCGTTACATTAGACCTGTGTAGTGGCTTTTCGATTTTGTTCCAACGAATCCTTTTTGTTTATATTATGAGAACTTTTTACAGTCAGTGGAGCTTTGGAACATGTTGGAGAAGAAGACGATGACCCTTTCAGCTCACGAAGGAATGATCGCTTCTTTGGCTGCATCAACAGCCTCGGGTCTCGTAGCTTCTGCTAGTCACGACAAAATTGTTAAGCTCTGGAAATGACGACATCATCCTCGGTCTCCCTTTTAATCCCTAGATTTTTTTTTTGCAGGATATCTACATATGTAGCTTGTGTTTGCTTTGTAAAAAATGATTCAGTTTTCCTGGTCTGTAATTTACCAATCGAAGTTTCCTAGTGAACTTATTAGAGGAATTAGGAACCAACTCTGTACGGTTCTCTTTTGACTGCTGTGTTACCCGTTCTTGTTAACCAGGGAAAATTTAGGATAAAACTATTTTGTCGGAAGGATTTGAAGGAAAGCTTGACATAATTGTATGTGATAGTAGATAATTAGATGGAAAGGCTGACTATATTTTGAACTATCCAATGATAAAATATCACATCACATTATGTCAAGTTTTATGCCAACTTTCATATTCATGTAGCATGATTGAAAAATTTACCGTCTGCATAAACTCTAATAAGATCAGGCTCTCTATTTCGTATCATCGAACTTTTGTGATATGATATCTAGTGGGGAACAATATATGACTTCTATATATAAGAATTACATTTCAAAATTAACAATTATTTCAAAATTCAGGTATCCTCGTCCCACCCACCTCATCACCAAATTAATAATATATTAATTAATAATATACTGTCGAACCTACAACTTTACCTGTAAAAAAAATTTCGAAAATTGAAAACTTTTCTCGAGATTACACTCACCCCTGGAACAACACCCCAAGCTGCACTAACCTAACTCCAACTTGAAAAAAAAAAATTAAAAAATAACTTTTTTTTATGGTGATTACAACTCACCCCGAAACCACCTCAACTCTACCCCATCCCAACCTTAAAAAAATTCAAAAAATTTAAAATGTTTTTTTTTTTTGGCAATTACATTC